TTGATACGCACGAATGGGCAAGCGAAATACGCACGAGGGCCATGCGGGGCGTACGCGGATGCGCATGGGACGAACAAGGGCGCGCATCGGGCGATGATGCGCGCAATTATGCGAACCGCACGCGGGCAACGTTGGGAGCACGAGGGTGCGCGGGAGGAGATTGGGGCACGGGCGAGGACCGCGACCTGATAGGAATAGGATTGTTGGGTGCAACACGCGGGGCGCGGGAACACGGCACGAACAGGACGGAGGCCGACAGCATGTGCGACAAGCGCGCAAGGGGCGAGGACGCGCCAATCGGCGCGAGAGCAATTGACGGGCGCGATAAGCGCGCGCGTGGGAAGCCAACGCCCAAGAGTCCTAGGCGGGGTAGGATTAGGCGACGCAAGCGGGGGGACGCACGCGTAGGTAAAGGCGACGCGAACGGGGAGCGCGCTAGGGCAGTGCGCGTGCAACAGCAGCAAGGCGCGCGATGCCTAAGGCGCCAAGGAGTAGGAAACGCGCATGAGGCACGCGCACGACGCGTGCGACACGCGAGAAGTAAGGCGGCCGAGAACTTGGAACGCGTGGGAATTACTTGAGCATTCTAGAAGCACTTGGTGTGCAAGTCAAGACATTAGGAGATCTAGTAGATTTAGGAATTTATGGTAGTAGGATATTAACTAGCCTTAGGATTTAATATTTAATTGTTTTATTAGTTTCCTAGTAAGATTAGATCTAGAGATAGTTGGTATCTATAAATACCCATGTACCTCATCATATTTTACAAGTTGAATGAAGTATTGAATTGGTGAGCCAATCTTGAGGGGGAACTTTATGTTCTTAACGTGTGATAAAGAAGGCCATTAGTGCGTCTTTACATACAGTGTCGGAGAGAAGGCCGTTAGTGCGTCTCAAAGTCAAAGTGTCTAGAAGAAGGCCCTGAGTGTGTCTGCTAGATACACCTATTGGGGATAAACGAAGGCCGCAGTGCGTCGTTTATTCGCAACCTAGTATAGACAAAGGATCGATTCGTCATCATTGGTGCTTTCATTGAGAGGTGTTGATCGATATTTTGTCTATCTTATCTTTTTATTTTTTTCGGTTTGCCTTTTGGTGAGGGACCGAATTTCTCTTCTTTTTAGTGTCGAAATTTTCGAATTTATTCAAATTTTTCATTAAAAAAAAAAAGTGTCATCTTGTTAGTCCTTTGTTATTTTTTTTTGGTTATTACCTTTTGTTGAGGGGCCGAATTTCTTTTTGTTTCGATTTTTTGAGTCTTATTGGGGGTTCGAATTTTTCGAATTTTTCCCTATTTATTTTCGATTTATTTTTTTAGAGACAAAAAAAAAATGTTGTTCGAGCCATTAGTTGAGTGGGATCAAGAAGATCTCGAATATTTGGAAGGTTTGGAGAGGGAATTAACCCCATGGGAGCAAAATTATTTGGAGGACATGTACGAGCAAAAGAAGGAGTATGAAAGACAACTCAAGATCATGGAGTTCGTCGAAGAAGAGCCATTGTTCGAGTTTGTGTAACGCCCCACTTTTAATAGATGAAATTCAGAATAAAATTTTCAAAAATTTACTTCACAACACTTTGGTGGCGCTACTATTTGAAAAACCATTTTCAATGACATCATAAATGCAACTCCCAAACGGGTTCAAAAAAAAAAATCAGGTCAACACCCAAACCGGGTTCATTAATAACATCAGTCTCCCAAAACTGGGTTTTCTCAAATTCATAAATATTAGGGAGTACACTCCCTATCCATAATCCTGAAATCAACATTAATCAGAATGCATAAACGATATTAAGCAGTTCAAAAGCAACGGAAATAAATTCAGTTACATGACCACCACTCGCCTCCTCTTGTCGTGCCTGCGAGTACTAACCTGCATTCGTGAAGAGCAGGTGGGGATGAGCACAATTGGAAAATCGAGATGCTCACCACTATGCAGTAATCAATATTCAGTAATCATAAACAGTAAAGGTATGGTCGCAGTATGAACATAAAACAATTAATATCCCATCTCCTATCCCAGAGTCAACCCTCATGTGCACACCTATATCAATAGACCACTGAACTGATAAACGTATCGAAATGCCCCTCGGGTCTTACAATCGATGCCCAGCCAGCAGGAGTAAATCCACCCCGAATGCCAAAACTCACGCCTTGGCCTTACATACGAGGATCACCAGCCAAGGCTCACGCCCTGACTGCCATACATAAATAAAGGAGACTACCCGAAGGTACGTTCTATAGCTACGGGGATAACCGTTCGACGGCCGATATAGCTCACATCGAAGGCTACATGGTTCACATGCATACTTTGATCATACAACAGCAAAAACAATTAATCAAGGCATAGCAAATTTTACAATTACAACCCACCTGGATATTTCGGTTGATAAAGAAATTAGTCAGAAGGTCGTAGGTGGTCGAGACACTGCTCTTCAGACACCTACATAAGTCAAGACAGTCCCATAAGCAACTATCTCGACTCTTGCACAGATAACGAGAATTATGCTTAGTCGAATAATATCGACTAAGGAACTCGTGGAAGTTGTGGAGTTGGAATATTAGGACGACTCATAGACTCGACCAATTATTTACCAAATAGATCACATAAAAGCAGGCAATAAATGTTCGACACAAAACGGGTCAAAACGGTTAAAAAGGCTAGTTCGAATTTTATAAGAATAGGGCTAAGGGGAGTTGGACTTGGTTATTTCAATTCAATTTTTTACTGAGTGTTAAGGGCTGAAAAATACATATGTTCACCAAAGGAAAGCCATTTAACATGCTTCTAACTATTTTAAATATTTTACTCAAAATCTGACCAGAAATCAAATTAAATTATTTAAAATAGCTACAGCTCGAATTTAAATCTCAAATTTTTACACAGGAAGATCATCTGGAGAAAAACCACATATTCAAAAATTAGCAAAATCGGACAGGAACTCTATTTTATATGAATTTATTACGAAACAGCCCAGAATTAGTTTTCGAGTTTTGACAAGGCTACATGCCATATAAAATTCTCAAATTATAACCAAAAGTACTACAATTACAAAATTACAACATATCCAAAAATCAGAATTTTTGGACAAACACACGATTTATAGTGATTTTAACAAAAACCGGCTGCAGCTCGATTTTTAAAAATTCATATCTAATTCAATACACATCGAAACGACGCGAGGCCAAAGGCGTTGCGTCAAGGACGATCCTAAGTCCAATAATCCACAGCACTTCCACATAAAATACTACGCGAAACTCAGTTCAATAATTTTCAAAGTGACGGCAATCACTTTGATACCCAATAATAACAATATATCCTAATTATACACGAAAGCATTCCGAACGCACGTAATTAATTCGAAAAGCACACGGTCAGCAAAAACAATATATATAAGCATGCTTTAAAACTGAAATTAAGACATTTTGACAGCATGGAATAACTCAAAGAATCCTCAACATAATCAGAATTAAGGTAAAGCTAAAGATTACAAATCAAGATTCAAAATTCTGTTTTTGTCCTCAAATTTCTAACAACATATGCTCAGTCTTTAAATCCGAAAATTTCAACATATTAAAGGTCTACAAAACTTAAGCAGCAAACATTCAGAATGAGGTCAAAATTTCACAACACCGCATGCCTTTTCTCAAATAACAAATCTCATGCTAAGGCCGAATAAACTGAACTGTAAAGTTCTACTAAATACTCATTTCAGCAGCTAAAAAAAAAATATCACGCAAGGCTTACATACATGACAATACATAAGGCTCAGAACCGAATAACAACATGGTTTTCAAACCGAAAATCATCACATAGCAGTATAAGATTTCGGCCTAAACTAGGTACAAGGGCTCAACCAATATACCTCGAAAACAGAGAAGGGAAGGGGATCGGTTTGCAAGGTTCTCAGCTTGGCTAAATGGCTACGGCTGATTGCGTTTAGGAAGAAGGTGGCGACAATGGCGGCTCGGCGTCCG